CCTTCCTCTGCTCTATGTGTACATGCTGACAGCGTACAGGAAGCCTTCCTCTGCTCTATGTGTACGTGCTGACAGCGTACAGGAAGCCTTCCTCTGCTCTCTGTGTATGTGCTGACAGTGTACAGGAAGCATCCATGGAGACTGCAGTTCCTCCTTCAGATGTCTAATGCCTGAACTGCACCCCACTGAGACCTCCTATGGAGACAGACTGGCTCCTCTTCCTCTTCTGTACGTAATCAATGCTCTGAGATGTTGTGTGTACGTGCTGCTCCATCAGAGTGAGCGCAGGCCACCCGATCCCAGCTCACCTGTGTTTGTGTCTATGTGTCTGTTCTTTCCTCATTCCCTCGTTTGCTCCAGTCAGGACCAAGCTGGTCTTGCTGAATGAGGTGGTTCTAGACTCTAGCTTCGTAACTATACATAGGCATGAATACCCCTATTTATTTATTTTTTTTCCATCACAGGCAATTTATTTTGTTCTATTCATTCACAGTTAATACAGAAAATACTTGGAAACATTTCCATGTAATGTTTGACACAGAAATCATCAAATAGAAGTATACAATGTTGACAGGAGGCAGTACATTTATTTTCACCTGAAGGGTTAGAAACCCCAAAACTCACTCACCATGGCTCCTCTATAGTATGCTGTTGTAATTGTTCGAAATCTTTCCTGGCCCGCTGTGTCCCTAAAATTGGAAACAAAGAAAGGAAAGAGTGACTTTAAGTTACCAGCAACACAGGCGAGGGCCCCAAGTTATAGATTCTGATCTGCTCTCGGTGCAGTGGAGGCAGCACACTGTGCCTTGAGAGGGGGACGCAGTGGTGTCCACGGGCACTGCTAGAACCCACAGTAACTTGGATGAAAAACCAGGACTTGCTGGTAAAAGCAGCAACAGGAAAATAAACAAACAGGTCCCACTGGAACTGGCATGAGGGAGGCGACAGAATAGTTCTGGATTCTTGGCTCCCAGAGGCAGCGACGGCCCTTTCTCTGAGCACTACATGACTAAGGCACCGTGCTTTCTTGACTGCATGTGTGATTTTGTACAAAGCAAACTACTGAACTGGACTTACTACTGTGTACATTCTGCTCAGCAGAGCAGAACAAAACACGTCTCCTCCAGAACACCTTCAGAGCACAGCCTGCAGTTAATTCCACAGGAACCTGGAGTCCAACATCATTCTCCAAGTTCCCAAAGACTAAACATTAACATCTCAAAATTACATAATCTTTCACCTATTCTTTCTTTTGAGTTGATCACATACCACTAAAATATATATTACAGGATGGGAATGTAGCCTACCAAGGTCTCAAGTTCCATCTCTAGCAGCAAACCAGGGCTGTGTGAGCAGGAGCACAGACCACACCACACACCACACCACACTACACACACACACACACACAAAAACAAACAAACAAACAAACAAACAAACAAACAAAAAAACTACGCTCTCACTCTCCAAGAAATGTGGACATTTCTAATTAAATTTATAACCTAAATCCTACAAAAGAAGCCAAATTTTCTTAATATTTAAGGGAAAATCACTGTTTTTAAATTTGCCATTTATAGTCAGAATTAATTCACTTCCTGTAGTACTAAAATAAACTACATTATACAATTTAATTGCAAAGAAAAGAGAGGTATTTGTAGAAATATATTGAAAATCTAATACATACTAAACCCTACCAAGGAATGAAGGTTCAAAAGAAATAGTCAATTAAAGCAGTAAATACCTTAATATTTATATCTACTTTACAAAATACTTCCACAGTGTTCACGTGATGCCCACCGCAACCCAGCATGAGGTGGGGTGATGTTATCATCTTAATTCTGCAAGATACAATAGGCTCAGGAGAGTTATGGTCCCGTGTCTGCCACTAAACAGCTCACAGCCTTGAATGAGACTCAAGTATTGCAAGTCTCAGTGGCTGAGCACCGGATGGGATGCACACCAAACATGTATCTTGGTATTCTCTTCCCCACCAGCACTAGGAAAGTGAGGAACTTATTCTGTGCTTGGCAAACAAGGAGAACACAGAAGCCAAGTGCCTTTGAGTGGATTAATCACATTTCCTTGACACAAATACACTACTAATTTGGAACTAGCATGCATGCTCACATGCGCACACACGCGCACACACACACACTAAGAAAAAAATTTTAAGGGTGAATGTGTTTCTTCGAGTTCTGTGATAGAACAAGGGGTGTATGTGTATGGAAGTAATAGGTGACAAACTTAACTGCTTACGAGTGGCATCGGCAGTACAGAGCCGACTGTGGGATTATGCCCTCAAACTATGGTATCTGATGCTGTCTCTAGGTGGACAGTGCCAGAATTAAAGTTAAAGAACACTCATGTGGTATCCTTCGGAGAACTGCTTGGGCAGGGGGTATAGAGGGGAACCCCATATACATTTGGTATCAAAAGTGTTTAAAATTTTTAATTTGTTTTTTTAAATTCACAGTGGCCTGAAGCAAGACAAGGCATTACTTATATTCTTCCTTATTTCTCAGTTAACTAGGCTCTATTTAATAAATTATAAAATATCAGGGCTATAGAGGACCTCTACTCATATCAAACCAACTTATTTACAGGTGAGAAGAAGCAGGGCCTGAGAAGGCCCAATGGTTTGGAGAAGTTTCCCCCAACAATGACATCTTAAAGGCTTGGGGTGGTGATACTAGGAGGTGGTGACATCTTTGGGGAACGGGGCTTAGGGAGAAGTCCTTAGATCACCACGAGCACTTTCCAGTGGACTGGAGGGCCCTGGACCTTCCTAGCCCACAAAGCAAGCAGTCTGCTCTGCCATGCATTCCCTGGCACTGCTATTCGACCTCATCAGAGACCCAAACCAATGTTCCCACAGTGGTTCCGCCTAACCTAGGACTAACTGGACCAGAGAACCAGTGGCTCAAGGGTTGTTTTTTTTTTTTTGTTTTGTTTTTTTGTTTTTTTGAGACTGGGTTTCTATGTGTAGTCCTGGCTGTCCTGAAACTCACTCTGTAGATCAGACTGGCCTCGAACTCAAGATCTCTGCCTGCCTCTGCCTCTTGAGTGTTGGGATTAAAGGTGTGTGCCACCACTGCCCTCCAAGTATTCTTAGGGATGGACAAAAAGCAAGAACTTTCCCTGAAGTCCTCAATTTAGAATACTGGGACTAGAAGTCCATGGTCTGGGACACTCGGCCATTTTGCTGCATCCTGAGTCACAGCTGCAACTGTACTGGAGAAGTAGTTTCTGCTTTTGAGAATTTGTTTCTTCTGTTATAGAGCTTTGGAAGATGGGCTCTGGACCTCTTCTGGATCAGTTTCTGCTTCTCACCTCCCCCCTCTGCCACAGGAGGATGTGCAGTGCTTATTTCCCTTGCTGTTTACAAAGGGCAGGTCTGAGGGATGGCACGATGTCTTTAACACCCCGATTCTCATTTCAACCCCACTTTCCATTTCCAATTCAAATAGAAACTCCATGTGCCTTCATTTTTTTACTTACCATATCTGAAGTTTAATTTTCTTTCCATCGAGTTCTATCGTTCTGATTTTAAAATCAATTCCTGCCAGAAAACAAAGAAGGATATGCTAAGTTCCTCAAATTCAATCCAAGTCTTATTAGGGAGGGAACAAAGATTTCTATTGAAAAAAAAAAAAAAAAAAAGCTCTCCAACGCACTGGAAAATGTGAGCGCACAGAGGGTGTGAATGGCATGTTTCCTCTGAATACAGGCTGGAGAAAGGAATGCTAATCACTCTGCAAAGCATTCCCACACATGTGAAATGCAGGATTACAGGCCTCATTATCTGGGCACAAATGGACCACATCCTGCAAAGTTATATAATTCAGAAGAACTGAGAACATAACATATTTTCTCCTTCCTGAAATACATATACACAGTGCTTTCAGTCTTCATGCCCAGACCTTTCCCTGTAGAAGGCCATGGAGCCTCTTTAAAACAATTGTCTTCCCCTCTCTTCATTTTAGTCAGAACCTGCAAGCTTAAGGAAAAAAAAAAACACGAGACTCCGCCCAGCTGCCTGCAAGGGAGGGAAGGCTTATTCTATTTATACAATTAGCAGGGACTTCATATGCTTCTTAATAAATGTCCCGATGGTTACTGTCTGCAACTGAATAGCAGCATGGTTTTTAGCCCTGGCCACACTTCAGAATTCCAGAGAGAAAACACAAGGACAACAAAGAACTCGCTTGACTAGGCCTGCCTCCTCCAACATCTGACATGCATTTAACCAGTCATAAGCTGTTCTCCAAACTACCAGTGTAATGTGAACCCGAGGCCAAAGCACACCAGGCCTAAAGGGTGACACAGGAAAGTCCTTTGGGACTCTGTCACTTCAGAAGTTCAACATCTCCTCCCCTATCCGCACCCCATGACAGCTCGAAACTTCACAACTTACTGAGGACTTATTCTACAAAGGAGCACAAAACCCTTGCCTTATCAGCATGCTTTAATATTTGTCAGGAATAAAGCTGCTTTTTTAAAAAATAGGGCCTCATTAGCTCAGGCTGGCCTCAAATCACTATGTAGCTGAGGATGACCCTGGATTGATCTTCCTGCATCTCTACTTTCCAGGTGGTGGAATTGCCCATATGCACACCACTCCACCCCATACCACCAGCTTAGGAAGTGCTGGGTAATCTAGGGCTTTCTACAGGCTGGGTAAGCACTCTCCCAACTGAGCTACAGCTCCAACCCCAGGAATAAGGGCTCTGTGGGGATCAGAGACTAATACAGCTGGACAGCAATCTGCTAATCCTCCTCATCTGGCCACTCAGCTGTATTTAGTTTTTCCCATTCTTTCACCTTTTAACACACTGAACTCAGTCTCCCACACTCTCCAAGAACACATATAAACTGTGTGTCCTATAAATAGTCTTCAACAGTAACCGCAGCATTTGGAGCGTGGAGGGGTATCCTGCAGCCATGTATAATACCTCTTCATAGGGAGGTGGAAAGCACCCAAAAAGCCTGCTTCCCAGCTCCAGCTTTCAGTAATGCATATGCATAAACCAACTGGATCTCACCCTCTCCTCCGGGTGGTACTTTTCCATGGCAGCCTTTGGAGCTTTCCACGTGTGGAAACAGACAAAAATGCCACCCAGGCTGATCTATCAAACTGGCCTCTTTATCGTTCTCTTCTCTCACTAAGGCCCTGGACTGTGAGCAAATACAATCTGATCCCAGTGTTCCCAGGTTACACGGCTCACATTTCTTCTACAGCGGTTGGCAGTGCAGGGGCAGCTGGTAATGTAAGCAAAACTCAGCACCGAAGCATGACTATCAGTGTCTGCCCTCCCTTGTTTCAGATGCAGACACTAGTTCTTATTGTGACCTGAGTTTTCAAAATACCTCCAAATCCGGTGTAACAACGACCCTGTAGAGATCCTCTTTTGAACAGGCAAGGTAGCTAATGGGTAAGAGAACTTGTCACACAGTGGATCTCACGGTGGAAGGAGAGAACTAATTCCTTCAAGTTGTCCTTTGACTTCCATCCATGGGAGTGGCAGGTTGTGTGGCCACCCTCCACAGCAGACACACACACACACACAACTCAAGTGCAAACAAATGACAACACAAACTTGCTTCTACCCTGTATCTCTTTTTGGCCTCCACATCAAGAACAAGCCTAACACCCAGTAGGCATTCAATAAACGTCTCTTGAAATTAACATTCAAAAATTTTAATTATTTCTAATTATGAGCATAGATTTGTGTGGGTATATGTGTGTGTAGAGGCCAAGGGTGTTGAATCCCCTGGAGCTGGAGTTACAGATGGTTTGAGTCACCTAATATGGATACAGGGACTTGAACCTGGTGTCGCACGCCTTTAATCCCAGCATTTGGGAAGGAGAGGCAGATGGAGCTCTGTGAGTTTGAGGCCAGCCTGGTCTACAGAGTGAGTTCCAAGAGAGCTAGGGCCATGTAGAGCCTGTCTCAAAAACAAAACAAACAAACAAAAACCCCAACAGCCTGGGTCCTCTGGAAGAGTATGTGCACTAAACTGATGAGCCACCTCTCCAACCCAGAAATTAACATTAAAAGACTCAAGCCTTTCCAGATCAGAGAAATAAAGCCAGAGAAGGGACAAAGGGGACTAGAGGGTAAGAAGTGGGGCTTCAGATCTGCAAGTTCTGAAGAGTGCCTCACAGTCAGGAAGACAGTACCCACCACGGAGCTGTACACTTCAAAACAAGAAGGCAGTGGATTTGTGCAGCGTGTTTTACCACATGAACCCAAACCAAAGTTGGCTTGAGAAAGCCTCCATTCTCAAGTGCTCTAATAGATGGAAAAACACAGCCTAACTCGGCACTAAGCTAAGTCGGTGGTTTGCTTTATAAGGAATAATGGTCTCAGGTAATCCCATCAGCCAAGCTTTCGTCAAACCAGGTTCAAAATAAGGCAAATGCCAAGTTCTAGTCAACGAGCTGTCTCTGCACCCACTTCCTTTTCTGCAGCTGTTACCCAGCCATGTGGCAGGCAGTCCTAGAGTATCACTGGACCTGCCCTGTTCTAGGGGCCAACTGATTTATGAATCCTTCTGGGCTCATGAAATGTAATTTGTTTAAACTTGCTTTTCTTTCTTTTCTCATTGTCATCATATGGGTGAGAAAGAACTCTAGTGTGCACCACAGCAGAGTGTGGAGGTCAGAGAACGACTTCCTTGTGAACGGTGGTATTTGGCATTGGTTCAGCTGCAGAGTACGAGGATTAGCCAATCAGGACCTTTCACTAGCCGTGGAGGGTATTAATATTACTGCTAGGAACTGAACTGGGAAGCGAAAGACCTAGACAGGAGGCCTAACGACTCTGGACTGCTGTATCCTCAACTACCAAAAAACCAAACCAAACAAAGCTGGGGAGCAGGATGCTGGGGAGCTGGCCCACAGCTGGAGAGCTTGTACTGCTCTTGCAGGACTCTCGTTCAGTCCCCAGCACTCACGCTGGGTGGTTCAAAGCTGTCTGAAACTCCAGCTCTAGGGAATCTGACACCTGCTTCAAGACTGTGGACACCTGTACTCATGTGTGTACACACACACACACACACACACACACACACACACACACACACACACACATCATTTTTGAAAAATAAAAATATGGTTTGGTTTTGGTTTTTTTGGGAGGGCTGGGAGGGAGGGAGGGAGGGCAGGTGACTCTGCTCAGTGGGTCAACTGCTTGTCTTGGGAGCATGAGGACTGACTTCCAGCCAGGCTGGGTGGCTTGGACTTGTGTCCCTAGTGCTGGGGGTGGAGACAGCCAGGCAGGTCCCTAGGCTCACTGCAGCCAGCCTAGCCTTACTTGATGAGTCCAGGCCAGTGAGACATCCTGTCTCCAAAAACTCTATGGATGACATCTGATGAACAACATCCACACTTGACCTCTGGTCTCCACATTCAAGTGCACACACATGTGTATGCCCCCCAAACACACACACACACACACACACACACATGAATGCATGTACTCATAATAGTTACAATATGAGAAATCTCTCTCCCTTAAGAATAAAGATATTTAGCCGGGCGGTGGTGGCGCACGCCTTTAATCCCAGCACTCGGGAGGCAGAGCCAGGCGGATCTCTGTGAGTTCGAGGCCAGCCTGGTCTCCAAAGCAAGTTCCAGGAAAGGCGCAAAGCTACACAGAGAAACCCTGTCTCGAAAAACAAAAAAAAAAAAAAACAACAAAAAAAAAACAAACAAACAAAAAAAATAAAGATATTTATAATTAATTTGACAATAATATCAATAGAAAAGTAGTGGATCAACATTCTCTTTAACATTTAAAGAAAAGATACATTTCTGAGACTACTCCAGGGGTTAAAAGAATAATACCCAATAAAATTGGATCAGTTAGGATATTTTCAATGGAAGGTAAAAGACTTCAAGTCAAGCTAGTTTAATGTAATCTGTTAACTCACACAGTAAGCCCAGAGGTGGCTGAGGTTCAGGGAAGGCTAGGTCTAGAGGTTCCAGCTCATTTCTCTGCACCTCCCTCCACTCAGTCCTTCTGAGGATCAGGTTTATCCTCGGACTGTTGTCAGCTCCTGACAACAAAGCGAGAAGAAAACAGACCACTTCCTGTCCTCTCTTCCAACACACGCGCCTTCACGACTCATTTTCCTCTTCTTCTCCTTACATCTTCTCTCACTCTTCGCTTTTTTTGAGCATGTGTATTCGTGTGTGTGTGTGTGTGTGTGTGTGTGTGTGTGTGTGTGCATGCACGCGTGTGCGCGTGAGCGCGCGCTCTCATATGTGAAAAGATCAGATCCCCTGGCACAGTCCATGTATCTATTTCCTGGAGGTAGGGTGTGTCCCAGGGGGTTCTGAAAACAACTTGTGGGAATCTAGTCTCTCTGTCCACCGAGTGAGTCCCGAGGCTGAACTCAGGGTGAGAGGCTTTGCAGTGTTCGACCCATCTCACCCCTCACCATCTTCTCCCCTGCCTCCTTCTCTCTCTCTCTCTCTCTCTCTCTCTCTCTCTCTCTCTCTCTCTCTCTCTCTCTCATCAGAAGCTCAAAACACAGGGTGGGTTTGTTTGTTTGTTTGTTTGTTTTAAACATACGATTGAACTCGGGTCCTTCAGGTCCTTTGTGTTATGCTTGGAAACTTCCCAACTAAGCTCCCTGTCCAGCCCCTCATGCCTCACTTCTCAAGGGCTTGTCATAGGGATGTCATGTTCTGGTGGGCTAAGGCCAAATTTCTGCAGTAATCACTGCCCTGGGACTTACCAAGACCGAACTAATCTAAATTCATCCCAAGATTCAGATCAAGGCCCATCCTTGAGTTTACTGACACTGAGTACTTCCCCAGTACACAGGGCTACTAAAGACAGCTCAGAGCAGAAAGCCTGCTTGGCATGAGTCATGTCTTCTTATAATATTCAAATGTATCTCATTAATGAAATGTCATGTTTGTGTCTAGTGAAATGGGCAACCCATAGCCTGTGTCACCACCCCGTCAAGACCATGCCTCCGTTACTGTCAGCTGCTGCAGGTCCTGAGGGTAACCTCACCTGGTGTTCAGTCACCGACCAGAAATCAAAAAGGCAAGATGGTGAGCAATCCTCCAAGAATCCGACACATCCTCTGCTAACTGTGATGGTCACAGCGAGGACCGTCCTGCAGCTCTCCTGGCTTGTTCCAATTCCCCAGTGACTAGAAGCTAAAAGGGGAGGAGCTGGCACAAAACCAGTGCCAACAGTCACAGTGCAGGCCTCTGGGGGTGCTTGAACATACAGCCAGGCAAAATGCCCTTACACACAGATAAAATAAAAATCTTGTAAATAATAAAATTGAAGAGAACAATACATCTCTAAAAACAGCTTCCTGAAGCACTATATTTAGGGTCGAAAGCCTCTTCCCGTTTCAATAGACTTTTAAAGAGCATCAGATTTTGGCAGCAAAAAAATACAATAATTTGTGTTCAAAATGACAGCTCTGTGTCACCCTGACTCATGAGCACTCCATGACCCACCCACAGGCTACGTGAATGTGCCTCACTCAGCTGGCATCCACCTCAGGAGACCAGATTCCAGAGTTGAGTCTACGGTGCACAAATACACCCAACAGGATTTTTTTTTTTTTTGATGGTTTTAAAAGACTTAGCTTCCCCATTGATATTTATCTATTCAAATAACACAGGAAACATTGTAAGAAAATATTCTCAAGGGATTCAAGGTCATTTTCATTTTGACAATTTTTTTCTGAATTGATTCTTTATGCTAAATGGCTGCTTACAACTGATCATGTTATTCACTATACGGAGGCAGAAGAGGGTTGAGAGGACCACAGAATCACAGGCCTGGAAAGAATCTTGGAAATTAACAGCACAGGTTTGCTTTTCTGGCTAAGAAAATGAACCCAGACAGATGCAGGAATTTAATCAGTCATAAAGACCAATACAAATGGTGGATTAAAAATTAAATTTTGTGTGCTCGCTTCTGCAGCACATACACTAAAATTGGAACGACACAAAGAAGATTAGCATGGCCGCTGAGCAAGAATGACATCCAAATTCGTGAAGCAGTCCATATTTTTAATCCATTTGGCACTTCATCTTGAAGTACTGCCTTCTAAAGGAATTATTAGAGATGCCAGGTAATGCAACAACAATGAGATTTATTTTTTAAAAAACATTTCTGGTGCGTGCGTGCGTGCGTGCGTGTTTTGTTTGTGTGTGTGTGTGTGTGTGTGTGTGTGTGTGTGTGTGTGTGTGTGTGTGATGTGACTGTGTGCTTTCAGGCCATGACAGACATGTGGAGACTGGAAGACACTTTGTGGGCTCTACTTGTGTCCATCTTTATATGGCGATCAAGGTCAGGCTGCCAGCCTTGCACACCACAGACACTTCCCCCGAGCCGTCTCACTGATGCTCACGTAAGATTAGCTGACACACTACACCAATAAACCACTGTTTTCTCCTCAGACTGCAGACATACTGTCATCTGACAGTGGAGGAAAACAAGAGAGTATGTTAGGAAAGCATTCTGTGTGGGTGGGGGAACTGGATTAGATAAAGGAGTCCTGATTCTCCATTCAATGAGAGAAGGAAGGAGACCCCACTCCTTCCCTCATGGGGTAAGACAACAGGCCTCTGCTAGCATCCCTAAGAAGAAAGCATTTTCTGGGGATACCCACAGGACACAGAGCTTCAAGGCACTAGGGAGGTTGACGTGGAGTGCACGCTCATTCACAGTACTGCTTATAATACAATTCTCAGAAACCAGGGAGGCAGCTGAAGCCAGCTGGAAAGATGAGTTTCACCAGAACTGGGGAGGAAACATGGAGCCCAGCCCAGCCCACAGTAGACAGACTTCACAGGGAAAGGAATCTGGGTGAACAAGAGTGGGCCACCTTTCAACCGGCAAGTTAGAAATCATTTAACACTGAGAAGGAAGAGACTATTCCAAACTATGTTACACTGAAGTCAGACTAGCTGACAGATGAGCATAAACTAACCACCTCCCCTAGAACAGAGAGGCTGCTCTGGATTAATGGCTGGAGAAAGGATGCCTGCCACTGGCTAAGTGTGGGAAGGACTGCTTTCAGGCTGGCCTTGGGAACTCTCCTGAGGAGTAGCAGGCCAGCCCTCCTGACCTTCGGCATGAGCTATGACTTGATGCATTCTGTGCTGTGGGTGCTACAGTTCAGAACTACACTCAGTCCTCTCCAGTCTGGAGACTCCTGGAACACTTGGGGGGTAGAGGGGAGGGAGACCTGCTGCCTGAAGCGTTAAAATGGGGTGTGCAGAAAGGTGAGAGGTCTTCAACCCGACTTTCCCTACCTGTTCCTACTGAAGTTTAGGGTTTTGTTTTGGTTTAGGATCTGAGCTTTTGGCTGCAGGCTCTAGAACCATGGTGGGAAAGTACATTATCTGGATCACTCAGCCTTTCCATAAATGATAGCAAAGCACAAATTCAAGGCTAGGTTTACTAAAAGCACTGAACATTTTTCTACATGGATTGTCCATTCCCTTTGATGTATTTAAAAGGCAGAAATTTAACATCATGTTTTTCAAATTAAAAAGGGAAAGATTTACTTTGGTTTAAAAGCACACTTGAAAACAGCTGGAACCCCAGGCTGTCTGCATACGGGTTATGTGGTTTGTCTATTTACATTTCTGAGCTATTTCAGAAATGAGGGGAGGCTTCCCAAATATTGAAATCTACTTTAGAGACATCTACATCGACTCTCTTAATTTAAAATGTTGGTTATTTTTTATTTTTATTTTACATAAATGGGTACCCTCAGAGGCAGGTCAGATCCCCTGAAATTGTAGGTACAGATGGCTGTGAGCCATCATGAGTGCTGGGAATCACACCCAGGTCCTCCGGAATAGCAGCAAGTGCTCTTTACTGATGAACCGTCTCTCCAACCCCCTTGTTTTCGGTTTATGAGTCAAGAGTCTTGCTATTTGGCCTAGGCTGGCCTCAAACTCAGAATCTTCCAACCCAGCCTCCCAAGTGGTGGGGTTACAAAGATTTTTATTATTAGCAATTTAGACAAAGTACAGGCAGTTCATGCCAGCCACATTTGGCCTGTGCTTATGTGTACTTCCAGACATGGAGAATAATGGAATTTTAGAACTGGCTTCTAGGTGATTATTTAAAATCTAATTAGTGAGCTAGGAAAAAGTGAGCCACAGACTGAAGCTTTAAGATACTTTTTACAAGGAAAAGGGGAAAACCTGGAGAAAACGTATAAAAGTATATAAATGTATAAAAGAATTACAATTAAGAATGCTACTTAGATTTTAAACATTCTGTGAGTTTTCAATCTATTGTCACCATATAGTCAGAGCTACTTACTTTTGTATCCTTATATTAAAATTTACTCTTTGTCTTCCAGCTTGAAAAATTTAAAGTCTAATATTTAAGAGGCAAACATTTAGATAAGACTTTAGATGACCACTGAAAACCATGCATCTTTACATTGGCTCAGTTAAATCCATCCAAAGAGTAGATTTTTAAAGGTGAACTAACAAGTAGTCAGAAAACACAACTTATCATTTACAAAGACACCTGACATCATAAAAAATGCAGTAGAACTTTTCATATTTCTTCAGTTCTTCTACTCTATGAATAGGAAGTGGCAAACTAAGTCTCATTTGTGGTAGAAACTAACCATGACACAAATCACCACTTCCTGCTTGAAAAAGCTGCACAGTTTTGCACTGTTTTAGAATGTTCTACTTATAACTAAATTAAATTAATTCAACGTGGCCTTCTTCATATGACAGTTGTACCCATTTGATCTGATCAGACTAACAAATGACAAATCAGGAGTTAGTTCTACAAACTGGGGAAGAACCCTCAGGTTTTCTTTAGGCCACAAATGAATATGACAGAATAAAAAAACGATGGTTAAGCACAGATGAATTTGTTTGGCCGTGCTGGGGAGAGAATCCCAAGCTTCGGAAATACTAAGCGAGTTCTGGCCCACTGAACCAAGTCCTGAACCCGCACATGTACTTTTATTTAAGAACTTACGTGTATGTGCTTGTGTCTTAATTTCTGTGACAGCCCTGACTGTCCCGGGTGTTTTGGAGGACTATGGAAGACTAGAAAAGCAATTGAACGCTGTGAGTGTGGTTAAGACACCACCCCAGTTGGAGCTTTCTGACAGCAGAGCTGAGAGCCACGTAGGACCCTGGCTCAAGGTTTTCCCAGGAGAACAGTGGTAGCAACAGGCCAGAGACAAATCTTGTGATAGATACTCTGGCTGCTTTCTGCCCCTGTCCTAAGAACCTGCCTGAGGCTAAAGTGAAGCGTTCTGTACTAACTTTGTTGGCAGAGGTGATTTCAAGACAGCCTAATACTGACTCCATCATGTGGTTATGAGTGGTCACTTATGCAGGTCTCCAACAAAAAAGAACAAGACAGGGCAAAAAGAAATAAAAATGTACACTTTGAGGAGAAAAAGGACATTAGGAAATGTCATGTTGGAGCCAAGTCTTATGCTTAAAGGCACAAGAAGTTTAAAGAAAGTTCTGATGTTAAATGAAATAGAGAGAGTGGTGCATTCAAGGCAAGACCCCACTCCTAGTACCAACTTCCTTCTTAGTTTTCTATTGCTATAAAGAACACCATGACCAAGGCAACTGAAGAGAAGAGTTAATTTGGGGCTCACAGTTTAGAATGTGTGTCATCATCATGGAGGCGAGCACGGCAGGAGGCAGGCATGACCCTAGAGCAGTAGCTCAGAGCTTAATCCTGATCCCCAAGCACAAGGCAGAGGAGAGCTAACTGGAAATGGCATGGGTTTTTGAAACCTTGTACCTGCACACACACATGCACCTCACACACATGCATACGCTCACAAGTACTTATACACACACAGGACATGTGTCTCAAGTGTTAGTCTAGAAGTGACAGTGAGTCTGACATTTATCAAGAGGGGAGTTCAAGATTCTCTGTGAGCAGATGTTTTGTCTTCAATCAAACCTCTGTTCACAAAGAGATTTGTGAACTACTCTTTCTAGCTCCGAGATTTCCATTTTCTTCCCATCATTAATTCATGATCACTTCAAGAACCAAACTGCTGGAAAACGAAAGCAGCTGTATCTCCTCTGTTCCAACCACGGTTGCCAAGAAAGCCATCTCTGCAGCAGGAAAAGCCCTGTAGTATGAGTCACCAGGCTCTCTAAGCCTGGAACTGCCTTGTCTGCACTTCAACAATCCAGTCAGGCCTTTCCACTTAGAGGGAAGGGAAAACTGCAGTCACTGAAGAAAAATGATCTCCAAACAAACAGCAAATCCCTCACTTTACACATTACTGCAATGGGGGAAAAACAGATGCCAATCACTGGAGTTAATTCTGGGAAAAATGACAACTGCATTCCAATGATGCTGGGAAAAAACATGCATCAAGACATGGGGTGGATCTCTTGGATCTGCACAAGTACTGAACATTATCATACTATCCATTCATTTACAAGTAAGAAGCTGAAAAGAAAGACTAGAGGCCAGGGGTGGTGGTGCACGCCTTTAATCCCAGTGCTCAGGAGGCAGAGGTGGATCTCTGTGAGTTCAAGGCCAGTCTGGTCTACACAGCAAGTTCCAGGACAGCCAGAACTACATAGTCAGACCCGGTCTTGAAAAAACAAGAGGGGGGGGAGGGAGGGAGGGAGGAAGGGAGGGAGGGAGGGAGGGAGAGAGAGAGAGAGAGAGAGAGAGAGAGAGAGAGAGAGAGAGAGAGACTGACTGACTAGAAATAACAGAATTAAATCACAATATGACAGTGCAAAAACTGAAAACAAAGGATAGCCTGGTTCCCTCCCAGACTTAGTTCTTTAAACAGGAACTATAAAGAAAGAATGTTATTCATGACATAGGGCTGAAATAACCTTAGAAATAATTTGATCATTTTCTAGGAAAATTCCGAGTCATTTTATTTAGAAGAATTTTAGGCTATATAGTGTAAAATGAAAAACTTAGAAATTCACCTCACCCAGTTAATACCAATCAACAAATCTGGAGTGGGGAGCAGGGGAGGAAGGCCTGTACCAAATAGAGGCAGGAGAGGAATCTAAAGGCACA